TTATCGTAATAGTAACCTTGTAAACAAAATAGTAAATCCTACAATATTATAATATGATAGAATCAAAACACGAACGTAAAACATGGCAAAATATTATTATTATTTTTTTTCAATAGAATATTGTTTTATAATCGTATACACGTATATTATATATTATTTATATAGGACAAATCGTTTTCGATAATAATTTACTTAACATKATTAATTATATTATTCGTATGGAAAATTTAAAATATTTTTTTTATTATTATTAAAAAAAAAAAGCATCAGCCACTATATATTATACAGTACCGGCTACATAATATGTTGTAGTAATGATAACGTAATAATTGCATTTTAATACGATGGATAACGCAACTAAAAGAACGAATCKAATGGAAATAAAAATATGTATACATTATATATAAACGGCACGATGACCTACGGAAATCTGTCGTATACTTAACACACGGCTCTCGGTTGGTTGTGGCACTCAAAGTCATAATAATATCATATTTTTATGGCCGCCATCCGTGGCTAAGAATACTATTTTTAATTATTATTATAGTGTTCCCCGTGAAAAATATTATTATTATAATAATAATAAAAAAAATTAAATTAAAAAGTACCTACGATACTTAACACGAAAAATGAAAACATTCCTCTTAAATTAAATAATAACCAACAAAACTAATAAAATTATTTAAATGGTAACTATTATGCTTACTGGCTGATTAATAATAATATTAGGTAGTATAACTATATAATAATACAAAAAAATCAAGTGCTTCGGGGAACGGGTTGAATAAATATTAAAATTTTAGTGTGCGAAACCGATCATTGGGTATAGGTACCGTCGTTTTTAATTATAGTTATTAATAATTGTTTTGTCTGTGGCCGAACGCAAACAAAATGAGTCGGATTAGGAACGCGACGTGTAATATTTTCAAAAAACAATATTTTAAGTATACATGTATGTTTTTTTTTTTATGGGGTTTTTATTTATGCTTAATTTTGTATATAATAATATAAATATTGTTTAGTTCAAAGTGGAATGGTTTCCGCGAGACGGAAACGTCTAACCGGAAAATGAATACATCCTTAACCTATAGTCGATTAAAATAATTAACTCTACACTTAAGCATTAATCGTTATACATAGTTGACGTGACAGCCTTTTAAAATGTTTTATCCTTAAAGTTACATCCGTTTTTAACACAGGAAACTTACATAGCGTATGAGCATAAACGTATCGTAAACGTAATAGTGTTACATATTATATCGTACTAAATAATTTAACATTTTTTATATATCATATTATTCAATAAGAGTTGCTAGTCTAACGACGCGGACAATAATATAATAATATTATCGACTAAACGCGTATACATGATAATATAAAGGACATCATTCGTTCGCGTATCTTGTTATAGTAATAGTAATAATAATAATATACAATATGTATATATATATATTATATTAATTTTCGCGAATTATTTTTCTTTTAAAAATTGTTTAACAAAATAAAAATAAAAAAACAACTCATTGTTTTTCTCATATTTTCCTAACGCGTATACAATTGTATTTTAGGTAATGGGTTTGACGGCACAATTCGCATACGTCATAAATGGAAGATTAAGTACATAATAATATTGAAAAATATCATTCTTTTTCTTTTCATCGCGCTAGACGTCTATAATTAATATTTAGTAATAGTAGTAGTAGTAGTAGTAGTAGTAGTAGTAGTAGTAGTAGTAGAAGTGGTTGTAGTATTGGTAGTCGTAGTTGTAGGTGGTTAGAGTAATAGTGAAGAAATTAAAAATTTAGACGTTTAATAATGTATTTTATGCGGGGAGAGTGTATATAATAATATAAACGTTCGGGAATCTTTATGTCGTATGTACAGGGGAGTTGTCGCGCGAGAACAATATTTTTGAAACCGATAAAACGGACGTACGTCGGTTATGATAATGTATAGTGAAATCAACAATATGTGTATGATACAAATTAATATTATAATATAATATAGGTACCGCGACGACGACGTCATCAATCGTATACACCGTGCTTGTAATAACGAACGCCCGTTAAATGTGCGTTGTCGCGTTGACTAGACGTATTTACTGGACAGCTGTTTGGCCAACTCTGTATAYTTGAGGAATTTCGAATGCGGACTCTCATCGTAACCACCACCATTTTTGGCTTCGGGACTCTTGACGCCACCCGCACCGGCCGAAGTCGACGGCGACCCATTGTTGTTGTTATTGTTGCTGCTACTGTTGTTGTTATTATTGTTGTGATTTGGCGACGACTTGTGTTGCGAAGAGGAAGACGGCGAAGGCGAAGGCGAATGAGCCGTGGACGACGACGAAGACTGTTGGTGGCCGGAAGCGGCGGCGGCCGAAGACGACGAGGCAGGTTTCAGCATGATCGGTTCGGGCGTGATGCCTTCCTTGACGAAATGCACTTTGGACAGGTGATGCCGGTATGCGCCTTTCGATATAAACGGCGTGTCGCAAAAAGCGCACTTCATGATCGAGTCGGCCGTGACGACGGCGTCGTTGCACGCCCAGCTAAAGGCCAAGATCGCACCGGGCGCGGTGGCTCCCGTGATGGACGCGGGCGGCGACATGGATTGCGCGGGCGCCCCGTTGGTGGCGGACGCGTTGGACGACGAACGGCTGCTTGGCCGGTGGTGGTGATGATGGTTGTGCGGGTGGTGGTGGTTCTCCGTCTTGTCGCAGAGCTTCTGGAGAGCGGCCAGAGGGTGGCTGCTAGCGCCACCACCACTCTTGCCACCGCCTCCGCCATCGCCGTTAGCGGAAGACGACGAACCGCCGCCTCCGCCGTTGGCAGCCGATGTCAGACTCTCGAACATCGAAGACAGCGCGCCCAGGCTGCTGGACGTGACCGGCGTCTTCTTTCCGTTGTCCGTGGTGGACCTGTCACTGTCGGCCGGACTCGGCGGGCTCTTGACATTGGTGGGCGTCGGGCCCCGGCTCGATCCGTTCGTCTCGTCCGCCACAGAACCTTCGGCCGATTCCCGGCTCCTTGTCCTCCGTTCTGCCGGGCTCTTGGCCGCTACTTCGTCTTCGTCCACATATTCCTTCTTCACTTCAAAGTCACCGGTGACGCAACCTTCGTCGGGCCCGCCAGTCGGTTCGGCCTTGACTTCGACACCGACAGCGATCTCCTGACCTCCTTTGCCGGATGACGACGACGACGACTTGGGCGAGYTGTGTCGTTCGGGAGTCGACTTTGGCGTCAACGATCGCATGCGCTGGTAATCGGTTGGTTCGTATTTGCGGTCCGGCGTGGTCGAATCGCTTCGCATGGCTGCCAATTCGGGTGACATGGAGCTCGACTCACTTCCACTCCGCTCGTGTCGACCCAGTGACTGATAGCTGCGCAACAAGCTCATCGCTTGCACGTCCATTATGGGCTTTGTGGCGTCCACGCTCTCGTCAATGCCCAAACGCTTGAGTATGCTCTCGCCGATCGAAGCGCCCGTGGCCGACGTTCCGTAACGGAGCCTCGAGTCGAAGCTCTTTTCGATCAACTTCTCGATAGCGTTGAGCACTGACGGCGACGACGAACCGGTGGTGGCTGCGACTGCGGTCGGTTTGTTCATCGACAGGTCGGCCGCCGCGTGAGATCTGTCCTGCTCCTTCTTCGGTTTTTTCTCCCGGCCCGATTCCGCCACTGTCGCCGACATCGAGTTCTGCGACATCAACGCGGTCTTCAGTAGATTTTTCTGGTCCGTCGTCATCGTCACGCAAACCCGCAAGTGCTCCATGAAGCTGGCCACGTCCACTTTTTCACCGCACTTCTCGCAGATTATCCTGCCCAGTCGGTGGTTGGTATCGTTGACAGCCTTAAACCCACCACCGGACGTCGGATATCCTCCGTCGCCGTTCTTCACGTCGTGCTGAGCTCGTTCCAGCTCCAACAGTTTGCGCACCGGCAGTGATTTCTTCCGCTTCTCACGCGTCTGCCGACGCCTGTTGCTACCCTCCGTGATCGAACGCATCATGTGCTCCTTGTAATGTGCATTCTTCACCATGTGAACGCTCAACTCTTTGAGCGAGTTGAACGCTTGATCGCACACCTTACACGTGAGCACGGCACTGACGTGATTGGCGGACGTGTTCACCGAGCCGGCCGGCGAGCTTGTGGACGCGGCGCTCGCGTTGCTGCTACCTCCACTCGACGACTTGTTCTCATCCGCGGACTTCCACGATATGATCTGCTCTTGTGAAATGATGTTGGTATAGTGTTGCGTCTGTTGCATGTGCGTGGTCATCTCCTGTAGCGACCTGAAACTCTGGCCGCACCACATGCACTTGAGTATCTGTCGAGTCTGCTCCGCGCCCTTTCCTAGCCAGACGTCCTGGCCCCGCACCAACTTCCTGGGAAGYGGCATTGTTTCCTTGATCAACATGTTGAGATCATTTTTGTGTCCGGAAGACGTGGACACGGGCGGCGGTGGTGGGGGTGGAGGCGGTTGGATATTTTGAGCGGAAGCGGCGCCGTGTTTGGTCTCGGCTATGTGCGTCGACATGGCCTGCAGCGTGGGGAAACTCATCTTGCACCAGACGCACTTGAGCACGTCTTTGGTCTGGTCGGCTCCTTTGTTCAGCCAGTGCGACTGCCACGCGCTATGCCGTCCCGAACTGGGCGCTAGCACTGATCTCGGTTCGTCTTGAAGTTTGCTTAGTTCGCACATCTTCTCCAACGCCTTGGTAGCGTCGCTGGCCGCTGATGGGAACGATCCGTACGTCAGTTTGCCGTGTTTTCCGTTCCACATGTGAACCGTGTCGCTAGGCGGCGTCATCATCTCACCCCTGGATATGGGCTTGATCACCGGTGTACTGTACTGTGCCCACGGCCTGCTCATCCGGTTGTATGCATCAGCGGATGGCGATACGGGCGACGGGTCGAGTTTTATTTTCTTGCTTCTGATGGTTAGATCGATCGGCGAGTCATCGTTGCTGCTGCTGAAGTTCATAGCTGCAGGATGGGAAGAAGCCGGTGGGCTGGCYGGCCTTTTCGTACTGAAGTCCAGCACGTCCGATGACGGTGGCGAACGTCCSGGAGACACGGTTGCCAACAAAGGGACTTCGTAAGGCGGAAGACTGGACTCGCTCCTCGGCGATCCTCTACTCATTTTAGACGGACTGTTTGTTTCTCTGTGAACATAAAAATAAATACATTTACGTTTTAAAAAATAATCATCATCGTATTCACATAAAAACAATAAAACTATTACTCTAATTTAATTAACAAGATGTCGTGATCGATGTTGTATTAAGATGTGGCGTGAATATATCAAGGTGTGTAACACGCTTATTTTGGGACGTTGGATAACTTTACAGTAATACTCAAAAATATATTGAAAACCTGAAATAACACGAGACTAATGACCCGGTGACATTTAATGTCGTCTGAAAACGATACGCACAATAAAATTGACACGAATAGATTGACCAAATCCTTGATTTAATGAAGGCGTTTATCAAAATTATTTGATATTTTTTTCTCCTCTCCATTAATTGCGACGTGTTTTTTTTATTATTACCATCTGCCAACTACACATTTCAGTTAACCGACTGCATAATTATTATTTATTTATTATTATTATTATTTTTTATTCAGTTTAATTAATGGAAACAATTAGCATAACCCGACATTGAGTTGGCGACAAGATTTCAATCCGAATGATTAGCACGCRGCCATTTTGGCTCTGTGCCTAGTGACTCCAGAGCATAATATTATTTACACACACAAACATACACTYTCGCTCTCACACACTAACGTATATATTATTCAGAATTTGATATAAGGGCCTTTTTTTTTTGATGTGGGTTGGGACGGCGTGTAGTGGCGGACACACAAAGAGTGAGTTTGAGGGAGAAGGAGAGGAATGGATTTGCACGTCCGGAACTCGATCCTCCGTCGGCAATAATTTCCGGCTAACAAGACAGATTAATGAACAATATTTCATATTGGCAAGACTTTTCTCGCAAAAACAAACTCAGTCGAGTGCCGCATTAAAACCAATTTATGGAGTTTGCAGTGTCGTCTCCGGCGCAACCGGAATAATTGTAATATAATGCCGTCACGAATTCAAGTTGACAAGGTGTATCTTTCGGTAGCACGCGCGGAAGGGTGGAACGACGACGTTATCATGGTGCCCCGGTGGCGGCGGTATATATAGTCGAGTCGACGTGAGCTGCAACGGGCGATATATTTTAAAAATTATCGAATCCAAAGTACAAAGTTGACGTTCCCAGCGGGGAGGTCATAACAGTTTTTTCCCGCTCTCGCATTCGCCACCCCTATATTATGTAGCACCGCTCTACACACTGTCGGTTTCCACTCCGCACCCGGGGAACTTCCTTTCGTGTAGCGTAGGCGAAAAAAAAGAAATTATCCGCCGCTGCAGGAGAGGCGGCACCCGAGCCATTATCGTAAATCAGTCGAAGAGTCCCGCCATCTCTCCGCCACGAACCAAGACTAAATGAAAATTCAAATGAACGGGCAAAACCAACACACCCAGAGCACATTACGGGGCGCTCGATGAGGACGACACTAGCTGTTCATCGTCGTCGACATTTGGAACGGTTTTTTTTTATTTTTAAATGACTTTAAACGATATTTAGCGGAATTATCACCATTTTTTACCCAATTTTTTCCCAAATTTTTTTTTTTTTTTTTTGATTCGTGCAGTTTCCCATTTTGTATTTATGTTACATGGTTAATTTATTAAATTAAAATAAACACTTTACCATGTACACAAATACTATATTTAAAACAATCATTAATATTATATTTT